TAAAAATTCATTATATCTATAGTATTTCTTGCTTTTATACTGCAGAACATCTGCAATGAAAAGCATCGGTTTATTTCTACCATAAAAAAGAATAAAACTCTTCAACTAAACTGCAATCATTCTTTTTTGTCTAATGAAATAAAAATGAGGTAACATTTTGTCAAAAACGGCCGGCAACATAATGGTATTTAATTTTCATATAGATAATCGTAAATCGGAAAAAGGATGTCTTGTAATGTAGAAATTATGAAGGACTGGTTATAAAAATGCGTTGGACTGAAATTGAAACAAATAATATTTTTCTCAACTGCTAAAAATTTTTTTATATTTAAATTTATATTTTTTATTTTTATTTTCTTTTTTGTAAGAAGAGAAAATATTTTGAAAATCATGAAATTTATCTTCAGCATATGGTTTTGCCAAAAACTGATCAAAAAATTTTGAGGAAAAACTCAAAAAAATATTTGTAAAAAAATTAGAAAAATATTTGTAATAAAAAAAGCAAACTGTATTATCTCTGGCCTAAACCTAAATGACACGTTTTTCGATTTTCTAGGGTTCACTTCTTTCTTATCGGGAGAGCTTTTTATGTAAATTGTTTCAAATATATGACTTTAGATATTATAAGTCACCCTGTTAGAAGTCTTTCTATAATATAAGTTTATTTATTATTATTATAAATTTAAAAATTTCATATAAATTTTATTAAAAATTTCTGAGTTAGGAAAGTATTTTCTACGAAGTATTACAGTAGTTTTTAATGATAAAAAGTTGATACTCAGAACTTTTGTATCATCTATGTTAAATCTATAGTTCGATGTAAATAGTTTAGCCTGTTAAAACATTCATTAAAAAACAAACTTCTAAGAAAATATTATAGAATTTGTGATCCCTTTCGATCTTATTGTTTTACAATATTCATTAAGGAAATCGAAATTAATGTTAAAGATAAAATAAATAAGCAACTAATTTACTAGGTATTTATTTAGTACTTACTAGGGCTATCAGAATTCTAAAATTGCTTAGTGAAATAAAAAAAGGGAAATAAAAGCTAGGGCATTTAATTATTTCTCCCAAATTTTATTCATTTCTTCATAATGTCATCATTAAGGCCCGGATTTTGATGACATTTGCATTTTTTTGCATTTTTTGCATTTTTGGACATTTTTTGTCCTTTCGAGCATTTTTTTTAGATTTATAGGGCATTTTTCCTTAAATTTGGGGGCGTATTTTGCATTGTAATGCATTTTTTAAAGTTTTTTGTTAATTTTTTCCAATTTTTTTTATTTTTTATCAATTTTCATTATTACACTGACTACCAAACAATGAAGAAAATCTATAGGATATTAACAGGTGAAGCAAAATCTTTTCAAATTGAAGAAGAATTGTCACTAAGTGAGACCGTCTTTTTGAAGTACGCACCTATAACATCAGTAGACGTTGAAAGAAGCTTCTGCAGGAAAGAAAATTTACTTTCAGACAAGTACGCTCGTTTACATTT